ACCTCGAGGAAGCAGATCGAAAGCCTGGCACGACCGACATCGAGGGTAGTACAATCTCGAAGATACTCAAGAAAGACCAGGAATTTCTCAAGGACACGTGGGTCAGGGAATAAATTATAGGATAAGATCTGTACGAAATAGTACAAGTCCGTACTAGGTTGTTATACAACTGTACAAATAGAATTCTTCGCCATGATTGGAAATGTATCATATTAGGGTTTTCCCTTCTTATAAAAGGGGGACCTCAATCATCTTGTAAGACACATTATTCACTACAATAGAATATTCTACTCTGCTTTTCTCAACAAGTGTTTTTCGGCTTTATTGTTCTTACTTTATTACTCATACTTCATTGCTCTTAGCTAACGTCGAGGCCCCCAACAAAGTCGAGCTCGATGTCCTCGTTGTTCTAGCAACACTCGTTTGATTCATCAACTCTTCTTACTTGAACTTAATATTACTTGTCTATTCACTAGTATTAGAATAAATCACATATCGTTAAAACCACAAATCACATTTCATTGTTACCCCCATTTTTCGAGGTAAACATTGGTATCGGGCTTAGCCGGAAGAAAATTGAATCAGAACGATATTGGGCCTAATGGACTGGGCCTAGCCGGTCTCATTTAATTTTTTTTTTAATTTTTTATAACAATTTTATTTATATTAAGATAAAAGTAAAAATGTAAAATAATAAAATCTGACTTATAAAAAGAAATGTTTGAATAAATTTTAAAGGCTTTAAAAGCCTTATATTTGAAATTTTGAATAAAAAATACGGGTATTAAGGGGTCGGGCTAGAGGAAAAGGAGACCGGCCGGTCTCGATACCGTTCTAGCTACGATTGTAAATTATCAGTTTTACCGGAATCGGTCTTAGCTAGTGGAAAATTAAACAGGAACAGTACCGGTCCTAATGGGTCGGGCCGGTCTTATTATTTTTTTTTTGTATTTTTCGTAACAATTATAATTTACATTAAGATAAAGTAAAAATGTAAAACACTTAAAACTAACTTATAAAAAGAATTTTTGAATAAATTTCAAAGGCTTTAACTCTGATACAATGGTTGAAACTGGCACATTTAGCATGTACCGAGCCATTGCCGAAAGAACAGAAAATTGCTTTTCATTTTCATGTCACCATGCCAACGGTGAAAATTCCTTTTGCGAGGCTCTATTTGCTTTTGCAAGCAGAATTGAAGTTCATCAATGTTCCTGCTACCGGTTTGAGTGGAAGAAAATATAGACCAAATATTAAAACCATCAAGGCCTTCATCATCATCCATAATAGCAGATTTTGAAGTAGAAGTAGTAAATGAAAAGTGGGATTAGCATTTCCTACATTATTAACAGCATTATCAATTATATTTGCATAATAAGTATATAATTGCTGTAAATAATCATTTAGCTTGTTCATACAATAATATATATCTGGGTTTCAATTGGTCCAATCTCCATATTAGTATATAAACCATTGATTAATTAGTTACAATTAGATATCTAACTAGAAAGATTTAAAACAGCACCAATTAAGTAAATAGAAGGATTGGAAAGAAATATTTTTTGAATTTTGCTTGTATTTTTTAACAACATCTTTATATTTTTCTTTCTTCTTGAAATTAGAGAGTAGAAGAGAAATTTCAGTTATATGTACTAAAACTATAGTAACAGTACGGTAATAAGCTCTAGAAAACTCAACAGTAGCTGTATAAAATTTATGTAAAAATTTAACAACATCATTAATGGCCTATCAAGTATTAATAGTTAACATACGGGGTGGGTCAGTACAATGCGCATTAGCAACTTCAGTTATAGGCAATCTATATTTGTAGCAACATCTTAAAAATAAGTATGTATAATTTCACCTAGTAACAATTTCATCTGGCATGAATCTAGGGTTAAAGTTATGTTCGGTACACTTAGCCTTAAATTCTCTAATTCTAGATTGTCTATTGTTTCCTTGAATAACATCAATTGTTCTTCTAACATGAGTAATCTGAGTCGAAAATAAATCAAGACCACTTTTAACAATAAAATTATAAACATGACATCCACATCTAACATGAAAGATATCATCAAGTAGTTGTTGCAAATGCGGTTTTAATAGTGAAATAGAGGCGTTATTATTAGAAGCATTATCAAAAGCATACACAATACGTTTTTATTAAGATCGTAAAGGCAACAACTTCGCAAATAGTAGTTCTTATAACAATAGCAGTATGACTCTAATCTTCATCATATTTTAAAGCGATAATATATATTTGCATACAAAAATTATCATCTATCCAATGACATGTAATTGTTAAATAATCATTGTCATTAACAACATGGCCGATAGCAGAAGTTAGAAAAACTCTACAAGGAAGATGGTCAAACAAATAACGTATGTATATATGATATTGTCCATGAAGCTTGAAGATATCATATCTACAAGTACTTCTAGGGATACTTTAAATAAAAGATTATAAATCTTTTGAATATACGTAATAAGATATGATGAAGAAGCAAAAAAAAAAAAGGCAGACAACCAAAAGCAATCATTTTTGTTAACTCCTCACGGTCCTTTATTTTATCATATTTTAAAATGCCTCCAGTACTAGGGTTTAAAGTTCCTTGATTTTCATCTAAATCGGAGTTCAAGTCTAGAGGATGAGCAATTCTCAAATGTCTACTAAGTGTCCCAGTCCCCCTCCCCCCCAACCTTCCTCCAGTCTTATGTTTAAAATCGTCTTTACAAATTTTGCATCTAAATCTATTAGTATTCTCTATTTTCCTCAAAATATTTTCAAACTTTACTTCTCCTTCTCCGATGACTAGTAGTCGGGGCCATATGTGGTTTACTACTAGTGCCACGACCATCACTCCTGCTATCAATTCCAACACTACTAGGTGTAGATGGTACCTCATCTTCAATATCTAATTCATAATCTTTTATACCGTAATCTTCATGTAATTATTCATAATCTATATTATTATCAAGTGATGTTTCAGAAACATGCGTAAAGTCATTTAAATTACTACCAGAAGTTGAAGTAGCATCTCTTTTTCTATTTTTCCGATTACCTCGATTACCAACCTTATTACAAACTCATTTTGCAACATTAAACATATTGTGAAAATTTAACTACTAAGAAAAATTAAATATACAAATAAAATATTAAATAGGATAAAGAGTTGGAACAAGTGAACTGAATTCCGCAATAAATTGACACTTGATGATTTTTGAAGTCTTGAAATTGAATTTCGCAACTTCGACGTTACCACGAATAAAATTCAACTGTTCAAACTTCAAATAATACCATAAATAAAATTCCAAAAAATGAGAGTCAAATAGTTGATAGCAATTTAGTTGAAGAATGAGAGAATGACAATGAGAATTTGGGCTTGAGAATTGAGAGATGAGTGAAGTGTTAAATTAGTTTGTGTCTATTTATAGTTTTTCAAAGAATTAAATTAGTAATAATAAAAGTGTTGTTTTTTTTTTATTATAGAAAAAGCCCAAAAAGGCTATTCTTGTAATTAAAGTCGTTGGGAAACGATCATAATGGGAGCTGACTGTTGCTAACGGTCAAATGTATTTTTTAAAAATAAATAAATTAAACTAGCCGTTGAACTGGTCTAGGCCAGTCCGGTCCGGTCCACCGGTTCATCAATGACAAGACTTTACCGATTTTAACCGGTCCGATTAACCAGTAGCTAGAATCCAACCGGCACATGCCGGTTCACCTACAAGCCCACCCCTATCCGACCCTCTTACCACCTACCGGTCCGGTTTGAAATTGGTCTGGGCCGGTCCGGAACTGGGTCAGCCCGCCCATTTGACAGATTTATATTAAAGCAATGAAAACCAACGAATATACTCTATTAGCGCACTTAATGCTTTTGTTGCTAAAAAATTTCCCTTGCATAGGCCATTCATTACTAAGCGTCTTGTAAAAAATTTCACTTTGGATGATTCAGACATGAATACTATATTTCAGAATTAATGAGGAATTATTAAGTCAATTTGATATGAATATTTTATTTTATATGTTTATTTTATAAGAAGAAGAAGCCTAACTTATAAATTCAAAATCAAAAAATCGAAATAATCAAACCAATTTATTCGAAACCAAACTTTAAAAAATTGATCCGGTTCAAATTTATTTGGCTTGAATTTGGATTATAATTTATTAAATCCAAAAATAAAAAATCCGTAAGTAAGGTTTCATAATCCTATCAGAAATGCCACCTCTAGTGAAACACGATCTGAGTCAGAGGTGTTTACTATACATGTTTTACTAAGTAAAAGTGTTAAAATGAAAAGAAAAAAAAAAAGAAGAAAATTTTGGAATTAATTTTAAAATCCGAAACAAGTATAAGTGTTAATTTAGGTATTAAATAGAAATGTTTGAATGAAATAGAAATGTGGTGTTGTTATTACAGGGGGAAATTCAAAAATAGCTAGATTTACAACTGGTCGTTCAAAAATAGTCAAATTTCAAAAGTAATCGAAATTTAGACACTTTTCATGTAAAGATAAATTTGAGCGAAAACACTGTTCAAAACCCGAAAAATACGCCAGTATATTTTGCTGGAGTTCCAACATAAGTATAATTGAACTCCAACCCAGGATAAGTATGCTCGAACTCCAGCATAATAAGATGGAGTTCCAGCAAGTATACCGGTCCAGCATAATATAATGGAGTTTGGAGCACCGGTGCTCCAGTCTCCAGTATATTATACTGGAGCCAGCAAAGTATACCGATCCAACATAATATGCTGGAGTTCATACACAGGTGCACCGAACTCCAGTATATTATGCTGGACCGGTCTATGATACAGCAAAATAGTGGCTATTTTTTATTGATTTAGTAAACGCTAACTATTTTTAAATGATCAGTCCGAAAACTGGCTATACCGTGTTATTTAGACGTTATTATCCGGTGGTGAAATAGAAATGTTTGAATGAAATATCACATCCCCCAAAGAGAACAAGTCGACTCGTGACTTGCCCTCTCATTAATCTGATGTCTGAAAAACCCCAAAAGTAAAAAATCTTCTAAACCCAAAACGTCTCCCAAATTCAAGTTTCAAATAGCACTGCTCCCCACGACACACTCCCCCCTCCCCCACCTACCCCATCTTCAAAATCTTCTCTCTCTACTGCAATGCCCGGTTTCCTGAAACAATCTCTATACTTCTCTACTACATATACATAGACCATAGCAAATTGTATCTCCATTTCTTGTAATTTTTCTATCTAGGTGTTACATTATTCTGCTCCTTATAGGTAGCAAAAGGTTGAAGATATGTTTATGAAGAAGATTCTTAAATGCAGCTTCATTTTGAGCTGATTTTCTTTTTATTGAAGCTTTGTTCCCATTCTGCAGCTATGTATTTTGAATGTTTGCAGAAAAGTTAGGGTTTATAGAGCTTATTTTAGTATTTTGGACTAGGGATTTGTTTTTGCAATGAATAGAAGTTTTAGAGCAGAGGAATCTGGGCAAAGGCAGAGGCAGCAGCTAATGGGGAGTATTAGGAGCTCAGACGAGGAACTATCGTTGTTTCTCGAAATGCGGAGAAGGGAAAAAAGAAATAATAATCTTTTTCTTCAAAAACCTGACGAATTTGATCCCCTTGGTAGGCCAACATCTTTGTCTAAATTACTGCTTCATTACCTAAGCTCATGATAATTATTTTATTTTGTTGCAATTATGTGTTATTGTAGGATCAAAAAATGGTACTTCACCAGCATTTAATATTGCATCAGCTGCACCCGTTCGGAGGTCTCGTGCTGATGATTTCCTTAATGCTGACAATGATAAATCGGATTATGACTGGTAATCTTTTTTGTTCTTCTTCTTTCTAAGCATGTGCTCAATGTTGATTCTTTTAGTTGTTCAGTTATTATTTTTAGCTGGTTAGGTTCATTTTGGACATCATAAGTTTCTTTATCCGGTGAAATGGATCCATGTCACTTGCACTCTTTTTTTCATGTAATTTATAGATTGTTTAGGCAAATATTGATGCACAATTTTGCTCAAATTATCTTACCTAGGCAGTTACTCGGAGAAAAAGACTTGAAGTTTGAAAGTTACGGGACACAAACAAACATGATAAGAAATGCATAAATCTAATTTTGTTACTTTTGTTTATATAGGATGTATCTACAAAGTAATGAACCATAAGAACTACTCATCAGAGTCGACATTTCATTAAGTTTGTTGGTTTCAATATAACAAACAATAGATTCAAGTCATTCAACTAGAAAAAGATTTTAAAACCATCTAATTTAGTTCATAATGCCAAGAGATATAAAACACCATGCTAAGTGGTTAAATATTGCTGGAAGTTTCCTCCTCCTCTTCAATTGATGACTTTGTTGGATAATAGGAGCTTGAAGTTCTGCTAGGTCATAAGTTTCATTCATTATAAGAGATCTAATATAATCCTTTTAAGGTTGTTGTTTTGTACCATGAAGAAAGAGGCAGAAAATTAGGAAGTAGTGACCTAGTGGTACGTATAGCCCGTTTGGCCAAACTTCTAAAATCAGCTTATTTTGAGAAGTGCTTTTTTCAAAAGTACTTTTAAAAAAAGTATTTTCGGCGAGAAGTAGTTTGTGTTTGGCTAATTAATTAGAAAAGTACTTTTGAGCAGTAATTAGTATTTGGCCAAGTTTTTGAAAACTGCTTCTAAGTGTATTTTTCTCAAAAGTGCTTCTCAGAAAAGTGCTTTTGGAGAGAACCTACTTTTTCTGTTTCTCCAAAACTGCTTCTGCTTCTCCTCAAAAGTACTTTTTTTCCTTCCAAAAGCTTGGCCAAACACCTCAATTTTTGACTAAAAGTGCTTTCGGCAAAAAAAAACACTTTTGGCCCAAAAAAAAGCTTGGCCAAACAGGCTATTAGTAGACTGATAGAGGTCTCCAAATCTAGAATACTCTTTAAAAATGACAGGACTAGGTGTTTGTTTGACATGTGTCACCCAAGACTTCGAATACAATTTATACGTGCATCTTAAACTTTGAAGCTAATCGAAATACATGCAAGCTGAATTCAATTTCTCGATGTAACAAGTGGAGGATAGCCAAGAGTTTTAAGGATGCAAATTTAAGTTAAAAAATATGATGTTAAAAGTAGATTTTTATTCAAATATCGTGAATAGTGAGAAAACATGTATACTTTTGTAGAGCCATTTGTTTTGGTGCACAAATTAAGTACAAAAATTAATGGATGCCATATATCAAATCTAGCACTCAAATAAATAAAGGGGATAGGTGCCGCAACCCCTCCCNATAGAGCTCATCCAACTGCATTGACATCTAGAGTAAGAATATGTATATTCAATTGTTACATTCTTCTTTGCTGAAATAAGGATTGCATTAATTGGAAGTTAGTTTACTCTTTTGTTATGTTTAATACGGGAAATGTTGTCCATCACTTTGTTGTCCATCTTAGTGATCAGAAAGTATTTCACCCCATATCCAGCCACTAGAGGGATGAGGAGATTTTCAGGAAGCCTATTAAAAGGAAATTTGTATAATTAGATAGAACGACCCTGGCAGGTTGTTTAGTTCAGAACTCGTTCACATGATGGCTCCATTATTTAATCAAATGCTATCATCAGACCCTCGCTGTTGAATTTGAGAATTGTCTCGGTGTTTAATCTTTTGGATGCAAATAGGATGATGCACATTTCTTTTGTGATCGCTCTTATAGGAAATACCGAGTACCCAATCTCTCAAAGATATCACCAATTTGGAAAACTTCATTCCGAGGTATATTTTAGGGCTTAGGATTTCTTTATCCTATTGAGCATACATTAGCAGGTATAACAGCACATGCTCTTATACAGTGGCAAATCGTCGAAAAATTGCACTGTGCATGTAGGTAAAATTACCTTTTAGAGGTATATAACACGTATTGAACACCCTTTGTCACGAATTTTTTTCACTTCTTTCATATTTGATACCCTTGGGAAAATTCCTAACTTCTCCACTGCTCTTATGATGGGGTGTCAGTGAAAACAGATTCAGTGCCAGTTGGTTTTTTCTTAATGATTCTCCTGAGAAATTGTAATAATCGGGTTTATTTGATATTCCTAGATAGTAGATGCAATCAGACATATAATTATACCCATTTTGATGGAATTGTTTGATCTTGAGGTATCTTCTGTAATTTTGCACGTGAGCTGTTTTTCTTGGTTTGCAGTCATTAATTGCTTGATTATTTTTGGATTATAGTAGATAGAAACAATGAAGAAAAACACCAATAGAAAAAAGCTTGTAAAATTAACCAATGTGTCAAAAGACCAACTTCATCAGCAACATGTACTTGCTTTCTATGTTCCAACCTTCCAACTCATAATTTTCATTAAATTAAGTACATTAAAGAAAAATTAGAGACAGCATAATCGAATAATGGTTTCACAACCATATGATAAAGACTTAAAATCTGCCGAAAAAATAGAAAAATTTGATGAAAATCTATAAATTAGTTACAATTTTTTGGTAAGTATACATATTTGGGGACACACACATATTTACGTATATTATATAATTACAAGGTGTTATATGTTGCCGATTTGATTTAATATCGTTCCATCTTTTTTTTTTCCTCCAATACTAAAGTAAACCAAATGTTTTTTTTTTGAGAACATATAAAAAATCCGAACATTACTGTTTTTTCTTTTTAAACTTAACACCAAACTGTACCAAATCAAAACTCATAAGAGTATAAGTTCTTCAGTGGGTTTGATTCAGTTTTGCTGTTTGATTTGGTTTACCGTTAATATTGAAGAGACTGCAGAACTTTGCTATTTACTGCCAGTAGATAAATATGCGGAAATAGCGAAGCTTTCTGCCTGGCAGTCTTAACCTGAAGTCTGTATCAGCTTTGAGTAAATTGTTACTTTTAATGCAGTTAACGAATACTCTCCCAGAGGCCACTGCAAGAAGCAACATAGCATCTAGACAGCTAGCTTCCTCTCCTGGATTAAACTCTTCAAGTTCAAGTCTTCGAAGACCATCTTCTTCAGGTGGATCAAGAACTTCAACTCCGACTGGTAGGCCAACATTAAGCTCATCTAGATCCACCATGACTTCAGCATCTAGATCCACATCCAATGCTGCAACCAAAGCGATGACATCCACTGCAACCTCTAAAACAATGTCAACCACTACGACATCTAGATCATCAAGGTCTGTGACACCTACTTCTCGTGCCACTATGACTTCTGCAAAACCCACTGTTCCTTCAAGATCTTCAACACCTACTGCAAGGTCCAATGCAAGGTCATCAACACCAACAAGCAGGGCCTCAATTACTGCATCGAAGTCCACATCCAGGGCAGCAACTCCTACTCGTCGGCCAACGTCAATGTCAAGTACAACAAATACAACTATTCCACCTGTTAAACCTTTGTCTTCCTCTTCGGGTACCAAGTCAGCTATAACTGCATCACGAAACTCTGCAGCCCTGCGTGCCAGTTCCCCAACTGTGAAACCCAGACCATGGAAGCCTTCAGATATGCCAGGGTTCTCCCTTGATGCTCCACCCAATTTAAGGACATCACTATCTGATCGGCCAGTTTCAGCTACAAGGGGCAGACCAGGGGCACCAAATGCTAGATCTTCATCTGTTGAGCCAACTTCAAATGGAAGGATCAGACGACAGTCATGCTCTCCAGCAAGAGGACGTCCTCCTAATGGTGTGCATAGCAGTGGAAGCTCTGTTCCTGTCCCATCCATGAGCCGTCTACATGCTAAAGCCAATGACAATGTTAGTCCTGTCATGGTTGGGACCAAGATGGTTGAAAGGGTAATAAATATGCGGAAGCTGGTTCGTCCGAAGCAAGATGACAAACATTCTCCACATAGTAACTTATCTGCAAAGTCTTCGTCACCTGATAGCTCAGGCTTTGGAAGATCATTATCGAAGAAATCCTTGGATATGGCTATAAGACATATGGTATATACATTCTTTTCATTTAGTGCTGCTATAGAAAAATATTATGATTACTTGAATAACATCTTATCAGAAATCCGCATTTCTATTCTGATAGAGTATGGTTCTCTACCATATATGTTCTGTTGTTTTCTCGGAGCTCTAAAGTCTGTGGATGATCCCTGTCTTCTTGTTCTCTTACCCTTTTGGATTTGCTTAACTTGAGACATTGCTCTTGGACAGGATATAAGGCAAAGAATCCCGGGTAATCTGCGTCCATTGATGACTAATATTCCAGCATCCTCTATGTACAGTGTGAGATCAGGGCCTAGTAGAAGCAGGACAAGCAGATCAATAAGTGTACCTGACTCTCCACTTGCCACGAGCAGTAATGCTAGTTCTGAAGTGAGTGTTAGTAACAATGCAGTGTATTTCGATGGAAGTGAAATTGATGATGACATTAGCAGCGACAAAGGTGTTCGATCACCTGCCAGTGTGCATGGGAGGTGATGATTGGCCTTTCCTGCTCCAGGATGCTTTCTTGTTTTGGATCAGTGCCAGTATGAGACTTTTGACACCTGAATATGATTGTTCCCCGGAGTAATGACTGATTTGGTTCACTTGATTATGTAAAGATTGATGCACTACCTAGCTGTATTTGAATCCTTTGTATCATTAGTCCTGTTAATGCCAAATCCTCGTTATTGCTAATGAGAAATGTGACTTATACAAGATTAGAATGTCTAAACATCTTGTGATGAGTTCGATCCTGAATGGTGAGGTGGGGGGAAAGGAGTCTTCTACTTGTAGAAATGGCAAAGGGGCAGGTGGGGGGGGGGGGGGGGGGGGGATGAAGCTTAGGTCGCGTAGCAATTTTTTCCATTTTCATTTCCACCAGCCCTGCCCTGCCCCACGAACACCCGCCCCGCTCCACTTAAGTTTTCCTTTTTTTTTTATATTTCCTTTTTCACTGTCACGACCTACCTGGGCCGCTGAACAGAGAAACCGGCGCCGGCCTCACGCCGGTGGTGAGAAAGAGAAGTCGACCGTTAGTCGAAGAGAGAGAAGAAAGAGATAGATATAAATATAAATACATATAAATATAGATTATTACATAGTATCAACCTCTAGTCGACTATATTCGCAAAATACCCAAGACAAAAAATTAAAAGAGGACCTCAGATGGTGGGAAATCCAAACTGCTATTGCTGAATCTCTCTTTTGTTTCTTATTTTCACAACTTGAAATAAATTTAGTTTGAATGGAAAATGTTTGACAAAACTTATAAAATCTAGTTTGAGAAAGAATGTCTTTTCATAGCTATATCCCAATGTTATTTTAATTACTTGCCCACTTATTTTTGGAAAATTACTGAAACCGAAAAATTTCTCACGAAACTTCATTAAACTAAGCATCACACATTATCGGTTGTTCCAAGTCTTCTCAAAGAAAGCGTAGAAACTCCACTTTGTTTTTCTTTCTTCTTTTGTCTGTTTTGTCTAATTTGTCTGTGGTTCTTTGTTTAGCTCAGTTTACCAAACCTTTAACCTAACTCTTTATTATTAACAAAAAGTAAAAAATAGTAAATCCGGAAATCAATCAGTGGATAACAATCTTTTTTAATGGCGCTCATGACTGAGTAAACGAAACATCTATTTAGAGAAGGATAATACCTAATTATCTCATAAGGGTTGTCCCATTTTACTAGTTACACCCTCGTATTTAACATGGTCCTATGACCCTCCGGCGTTGATTGAATATAATAAATACCATCTTCCCTGACTAATACCAGTTTCAATTAAAATGGTATATGACACACACCAATCATATTTTGACTTGTAATTTTTATACCATATAATTTCTTTTTATTTATTATTTATATTATCTTCCTTTTATTTTTATTTTTTTCTTTTCTTCATCTCCCAACCACCCCAAGTCTCGTTCTTCGTCCCAGCTAAGACTGTATTGTGGTCCGGGTCCGGACCAAACGGGCCTAAATGGGCCGGGCCAAACGGGCCTGGATTTTAGGCGGGCCGGGCTGAGGCGGTCCCGGGACCGTTACGGGTCAAACGGTCCCGGGCTTCACGGTCCCAATGTGTGGAACCGGCCCACGGTGGTCCTAAGCCCACATGGTCCCG